GGACCTTTAAGGCACATTAAACAACTGTTGGACCTTGAGGCCTAGTCCACTTATTAAAAACTGTCTATGGTTAGTCAGAGTTCCCATGCTAATAAAGTGAAGCTGTTTTCATGCCCATGCCAACAGTTTAAAAAAAGGTGTCTAAACACAGGACAAGAAAGCATATCAGTGTCAGAGTAAAACATTGTCTTCATGACAAAACCATGCTTCATTATTTCTGATTGGTGTGGTCACAATAATCCAGATTGTCAGTTATTTGCTGTGCTTACAGTTTTGTTATTACATTGTGTTTGACAAGTAGACAATGAAAACACAAACAGAGGTGATATATGATCATAGAGGTGCTATCAGCACTACCGGCCTGCATCCAGACCCACATCCATGGATAAGGCAGACCAGTTTATCCTGTTGAAGTAAAATTCAATGGAACTGATGCTTATAAAATTCAAGTTTTTTTTTATAGACTATACCAATAAAGAATTGTGTCTATTGTCAGCATTCATTCTGTGTGCTGCAAATTAAGGAGTATTGCCTGAACCAGTGATCAGAGTCCCCTTTTATGGACTCACAAACCCTGGTCTGGATTTAAGCTGTCTCTGTGTGGTTTGGATTCCATTTAGGTTTTCACAGTCACTTCAAAGAAAATTGCTATGTTCAGTGCTTGCTTCCAAAATATGGTTTTACAGGCATATATTTGTCTTACCTTTATTTTGAAAGTAATGCCCGTAACTCATACTTAAAACCTCCCATATTGTATTTTATCAGGTGTGTTTACATCAGTTAAAAGCCACCTCCATGACACAAACATGTTGGCCAAGAAGTAAAAGCTTTTACTTTATTACTAACATGAGATTCAAAGTGAGTTATTGTGGTTGACAGAAGTTTATAATATATTTTTTGAGCTCCAAATGGTTGTCTAATGAATCTTGACAGAAACTGACAATTCTCTTCCCTTCAGACCTCATCACTGCTTTAAAGAGGTACCTGAGCCATAAGACTGGAACCTGGACCTGCTATTTTTTTTCAGTCTTTAAATGTTGACTGTATTGTGTTTACCCAGTCTGTTTGATAGCTATCTCAACTGACAAAGGCAGACCTGCACTAGTCTTGAGTAATGATCTCATGTTAGGCCTGTGCAGTGTCTTGCAGCAGTTCACAGACCAAAACAATTAAATATTATGAGCCGTATGAAACCTATTTTTAGAACTAAGCATATATTTTCTTACTTCCTAGTTTTGAAAGGATTATCAGTCTTTCTCTATCTTTTTTTTCTCTCTTTTGCAGTGTTCATTCTCTAACAATGATTACCTCACCCACAAGAAACGAAAGCACATTTTCTAAGAATGTTATACAAAGACCAGCTCAAAGAACAAACAATTGTAAAAATGCAATGCACAAGCTGTCCTATTGTTTAGGTTGCAACCCTGAGCTTCCTGTAGTTCCATAAATAAGACAAATTGACTAAAGGATTAATCAAACACAGGTGGTGTTTGGCTAAAGAGCTAAAGAGCAAGCAGCAGTGGATTTGAAACTGTTTGAAATAAAGTATTGAGGTAAAAGCTGTGCCCTTTGTGCTCAGCTCAGGCAGAAATAGTCCAACACCTCTCACATGTTTGGGCTTTGGGCCTTACTGCTGGTTTAATCCATAGCATGTGGACACACACAGCTCGGACAGGGTGCAGTGTGTAGTAGTAGCAGCAGAATCAAGACACTGCAAATAGCCCAAAGAAATGAATTGAAGAAGTGTTTGTTCTTGACTGTAACTCTCATATTTAGTATAATCAATAACAAAAGGCTTATTAACAAATAGTCTGTAGGTAATCGCTTAGCGCTGAGTATCAATTCCTGAAGAGAATATAATTTGGCTTCTAGTTTCTTCTTTAACAAACGGGGGATAATCCAGCCTATTAGGATGCCAGTGGATTTGATTATTTATTAGGATCCCCATTAGCTGTACCCTAGAGCAGTGGTTCTCAAACTTTTTAGACTGAGCGCTGAGACTGAGACTAGCGCTAGAACTGGCACTCAAACTCCACACAACACTGACATTTGCCCAAATCAAAAAAAGTGCAGCACAATAAAAATGACAACTTTATACCAACAACCTGTTTGAGAATATTTAGTCTCCAGTGTTTCCCACACAAAGACGATACCTGGGCCCAAGTATATTTCCGGCCTGTTCTTATTTAATTTTTCATTTATTCATAAAATTGCTGCGTGCCTGAGAGAGAGAGAGAGAAAGAGAGAGCGGGGGAGAGAGAGAGTGCAGGCTCCGTGCAACCAGAGCCTCTGTATTATAAGGCTCTGCGTTCAACAAAGCAAAACTCCCTTAAAAAAAAATCCTTCTCGAGTCCTGTGCATAGTTAAGACACAGCAAAATAGAGCAGAGAGAGGGTGAGCGACTGTCCGTACACTCTTGTAAATGCATCACAACGGAAGCATCTCCTGGCTCTGTTTTAAAAATGTTAGTATACAGCTGCTTGCCACCGATTCTGTGCTGATCTCCAATAAATAACAGAATATCTGTTAATGTAGGCCTACAGCTGCTTGTCTGTGCGCGTGAGCATAAATTGAGAAGATTAAAGTCGTTTGTTGCAAAAACTTGATTCATTTAGAGGGGGAAACACATTTGATATAAATACAACCCAATAGATACAAGACAGATAAGATAAGAGTACAACAAAAAAAAAATGATGTTTTATGCTGAACGTTTTTTTTTTTTTTTTATATATATTGTGGAGATTTCTTTGCATACCACCACAGGGAGCCCGCGTACCACCGGTGGTACGCGTACCATAGTTTGAGAACCACTGCCCTAGAGCACAGCTAGTCATGCTGGGGTCCACATAAAAAAAAACACCTTTAAATTATAGGTATATAAAAATGTACATATGAAAACATAATTAAGCACAAACGTCTGCACATTTAGACGAGGACTTGTTTCTTTATTTGCTTCTTTTTGTTTATTTAGTCAATGAGGGGGGGTTCCCATGTTTTCTTTGCTCTATATATTACTGTACCATTTTCTTGTTTTAGCTAACTGTACTGATATAAATGTGTTGTGAATCGCAACACCTTTATTTAGCGGCCTTCTTTTTCTCAACTTTTAGCCAGCGAAGACGAGTGTGCATGCCGTTGATGTTAGCACCATATGGACTGTAGAGCCAGGCATGCTGCCTTGTTCTCTATTAGTAGATGACCTGATCGATTAAGATGCATACCACGCTTCTATGACATCCAGTTTTTAAAATCTTAGACTTGATCTCTGTTGCATATTCTCGACATTTCTTGGTATTATTAGGGATTTTTAAACAAAAAAATCAGTATAAAGTATTTTCTGTAATGACTACATTCCAGCTAGCTGTTGAGTGTGTTTGTAGTCAACACATAAGTTGAGCAGTCTGAGCTGTGCTCACTGGTTGTAGTGTAGAAGATCTTTCCTATAGGGTCCCAGCAATCAGCCACATCCAATGATGCTGCTTCTCTGTATACGGCTCAGAGCTCCCGTCTTAAAATACCCACACTGCATTCTGTCATGCTTCCCCCGGGAACTGCAGTGGGTCAGAGATCCCACTCCAGGGAATCTGTTTGCTGTTTGGAAAATAGATTTAGTTTGCTGTGTTTACTGTTGTTGGGGAGTGGTTGTGGTTAGAGTTTTTACAGAACTCCTCACACCTTTGTTGTTTTGTTTTTTTTGTTTGTTTTAATCAAGATATCAAGGCTGTTTATTTTACAACACAAGAGTTTTACAATGATACGCTGCCTAGTCAAACAAACACAAACAAATATATCTACATTTTTTTGAATATAATTCATTAACAATGAATAAAATAAGATGGAAACAATATACAGTTACATGCAGAAAGTAATTTTAGTTTTGTTTTTGACCCACACTTCAGGTAGGGTGCTTCCTTTTTCCAATGCAGATGTTTCTAGATTTGCCACCGATTATAAACGCTTTAGCAATAAGATAGAGATCCAGGAACTTGTGTCCAGAGTGATGTAGCGGTTTCAGTGAGTGCTGCCTTTTCAACCATGTTAGGTCACCACGTTGCTCACCTGTTGTTCTGCTAGAGGTTAAGCTTTGCATTTACACCCAGAAAGTCAGCCATTGATTTATGACATGGTTAACAGCAACAAGATGTAAGGGTTTTTAATTGATTTCTTGTGGGTGACTAACTTGTAGTTTGAGGTCTATTTAGCTTGAAAATCATTTATATCTCATAACACAACAAAACTGTAAGAGGCTTGAGGGTTTGTTCCACAGAACTTTATTTAGTAGAATAAGAGAATTGTGCTGTTTTTTAGGGTGTTAGGGCTTTTCAATACATGGTAATATGACTTTTACTCATTAAATGTGCCATGCTTGTGTTTTTTTTTTTTGGTGTGTCATCTGTTCAAAAGATGTAGCACTGGATATACAAGGGACTTTTATGGCACTAATAAACAAACCAGAATATCAGCGTTTGCTTGTTTTTTTGTTGAAATAAGTCTGAGATTACATTTAATTTCTATTACTCTACCTGAACAAGCTTAATGTTATCATGCATCTTGAATGGTGAAACAAAAATATGATATGTTTCCCACATTGAGCAGCTCTAGAAGTAAACTTTCATCCATTACATTTTAGACGATGATTAAAGATGATTAAATAAAGCTGTCTATGGTGTGGGGTGTCTGTGATACCTGCCCTCGTCACACAGCAGGCTTTTATTTGTAACAGGATGTAGCAGACCATAGACTAACAGGATGTATGCAGAGTGGTTAACAGAGTGCATAAGACCTACCGGTACTCTTCACAATGTTTTCTATTTTTGTAATGAAAATGAAGATCCGAGCCTTACAGTGATATTTAGTAATTGTAATGTTTGTAGTCTAAATGCTTCTTTTTCTCCAGAAAAACTTGACAAGATACATTATGATTGAGTGTTCTTAAGTGTTCTGCCTCCTTTTTAAATGCAATGCTTGTAATGGTAATTCTATTTCATATTTTCTTACAGAGCTCGGCATGGCACAGCGGAAGTTTGCCCAGTGCCTGGGAGAGTTTCAGTTTGAGTACATCGGAGACGCAAAGACAGACGATGAGAGATGTATTGGTAAGTGGCTGTGCCTCCACACATGACAGAAGCTAACCACCAGTTTTGTAACGACTGAACAGACACACACTGTAAATGTTTGTTTATAGTTCTTCCTCTACCAGCAAATTAAGACTAGCCTCTGGTTTAGCAATTGTGGTGGGAACAGCTGATAATCATAATATGTTTGTGGCTGTCATTGTATATACAAGAGAGAAAAAGAGAGAGAGAGAAAGACAGAGAGAGAGGACGAAAGTTTGCATTTGTCACCATGTTTTTTTTTCTTCAGATGAGTCTTTGCAAGAGTTCTCCTCATTCCTCAAGAACCTAGAAGACCAACGAGAGCTCATGGTGAGAACAACCAGTCCAAACCTGCTTGAGAGCCAGGGAAAATACCTGAGTGTGTGTGTGTGTGTGTGTGTGTGTGTGTGTGTGTGTATGTGTGTGTGTGTGTGTGTGTCTGTCTGTCTGTGTGGTATACTGGAATTGAATTATTTTATTGTGTACGCCTGCACTGTGTGCATTTCCCCCAGCCTCCACCTGTTATTGCCCATATTAGGTAGTTGGATCTATTTGCTTCTGATTCCGTCATCTACCAGAGATCCGGCCGGCACTCATAAAGGGATTTTCTCCAATGTACAGTCCAGCCACAGTATCCAGTAATGCAGAGCAAACCACTAACCTGAGGGTGGATAATGCTGATAATGTTCAAACTGTGCCTTCACTTGAGCCTGTCTAAGGGTCACTGTCACAACAACCGTACTGGGAGTAGCTGCAGGACAGAAGTACATATCCACATAATTACAACCAAGTTTTAAATACCACGACAGATTCACATGAGCTACTACCAGCAACAAGGTCAACCTCAAAACAGCTGGTTACGACATACCGACCATAAAAACAGTTTCTGCACAGGGCAGCCATGTTAAAGTTTCTAGTTTATAAACCACTCAAATCATACTTTGGGTATGGAGGAAGTTACAACAGTTTTAAAGGAGGTCTGATTTAGAAGGTGACAGCGGGTCATGAACTGCGACAATTAATGCTTAAAGTGTCATAATAGTTTTCAAAAGAAGCAAAAGCATTACAAGATGCACAATTCAGTATTTGCCACTTTCTATAAACAGCCATTGTCTTGTAATGTCTGCTTGTATTGTCTGAGGTTAGGGAGTGGGACTATCATCATCAGCAGCTGACTGAGCTGACTGAGATGACTGTTTTAGCGCCCTGCTCAGACAGTAATGGTAAACACTCTGCTCGCCTCAGCACAGCACTGCTCAGCACTGTGGGATGACATCACAGTGCAAAGTAAGGAAAAGTAGGACGGGCACGCAAGCCCAGACGTGTCCTGCAGTCAGCACAGCCGAAGCACAGGAGGAATGAGGAAAACTACAATGACTTTATGTATTATAGGCAGAGAGAGATACTTTTGGAATGGAAGTTATGTAATCTTAGTTATGTAACTCAATATATCAAGACCAGTGGGGCATCAATCATAACGCAGCACGCCTAGAGGCCAAGAAACTGTACACTCTTACCACTCTTCACACACACACACTGAAGACTGCAAAATGTTATTCTGTCATATCACATATCAGTGGGATTTTTCATTATGTTATGTAATAATGAAGTATTTTGTGTTTGTTTAGATGAGAAACATAACAGAAACGTTAATGAAACCCCTGGAGAAGTTCAGGAAAGACCATCTTGGTACAGCAAGGGTAATGTATGATGCTCTACTTCCTAGTTTAGCTCCTGACTGATTTTGTTTTGTATGCTATGTGCGCCCTAATTATTGTTTAACAGCAATATTTACAAGTTTTATGCGAATACATATATGTTCTACTACACACAGGCATCTTGGGTTACTTCACCCCTTGACCAAGTGTTTTCTTCTCCACGTGTGTTTGTGCACTTTCCACTGTACCTCCCCGTAGGCGGAAAGAAAGAAGTATGAGAAAGAAACGGAGAAGTACTACAGCTCTCTGGAAAAGCTTCTGAATATGTCAGCGAAGAAGAAGAGCCACAGCTACAAGAGGTATTTATCCTCGTCTGAACTCTGACAGTTACGAAACATGCAAAGTGAAAGGAAAACGGGTATCTTGTTTGGTTTTAGAAGCCCTGTTTTAGGTTTTTGTCTTGGTGCCACGGTGGGAGAACCTCTCTGTAAAGCCTCTCTGAGTTTCCACTGATATGCCTTGCAGCAACAGTTTCCCTGGCTTGTTCTGAAAGGAAACGTGTACTTACTTTTGCTGTACTTTCAGGGTCAAGACATGTTGTAGAACGTTTGGGGAACAATCCACTCTACAGTATCATGAACAGGAATTATGTGAAACATAGTATCTCTACTAAAGCTATCTCTGTCGTCGCCATGTAAGGCTGACCCATATGTTGTATACTCTATCCATACAGGACACTTGAAGCTGTTGACATTATTACTGCAGGGTGTTCTTTTATTTGTAAGACAGAAGAGATCCAACTTATTTCTATCAGGCTTAGTTCAAAGCCACAGGAGTGACTTCATCAACACTACAGCAGTTGTTAAATCAGAGCTTTTAAAGTTCATAAAACATTTTTTTCAGTAGTTAACATTTAACAGATGAAGAGTTCAGTTAATGAGTTTGCCGTAGAAAGAAGGTGACTTATTACGCCTAAAGATGCTTTACATATATTTACAGTAGCATAATTTTACTTTGACAACACGTCCTCTGTGATATATACTGTATGTATTTCATCTACCTGATGTGTTACACTGTGTAGCTGTGTTGTACACAGTACGTTAATACATCTAAGAACTACTTAGAATATTTTGGTGTGCAAATCTTCCTCCTGGGTTCTCATGTTTCCTTCCACAGTCCAAACTAAGAGACTTACAGGTAGCTGAAGATTAACTGGCAGCTCTAAATTGTCTATAGGTTTAAGTATGAGAGCGTCTCAACTGACTAAACACGTTAACCACATCACATCGAAAGCAAGGCAAGGAAGCTTTATTTACACATCAGCAACATAGGGGCAATTCAAAGCGCTTTACATTGACAAAAAATAATGAATATACTAAATGTAATGAGCTTTTAGAATACAGCAGCTATATCGGAACAATTCAAATAGAATAAAATAATTTAGAATAAAAAGCTCTGACGTTTAATGGGAGAGAGACTTTAATAGAATTAATATGGTGACAGTAAATATTGTACTAGGTTCACAATATAAGTTTTACATTTCACCAAATGCAACAGAGGACAGGAAGGTGCAGGAGAGAAAACAAGCACATGCAAAGGCAAACAGGCGAAGATATAGACATGCAAAAGTTTTTAATGTTGAGGCTCATTTGGGATAATCAGGAGGCTGCTTAAATCTGTGTGCAGGATAGTAGCAGAACAGTAGACTGTTTCCTTTAAAACTCAAAGGGCCTATATTGGGACTATACATATTCAGTATATACTGGTCTCTCTGGTGCCAAATTTGCATGTACGTAACTGTAAAGGACAAGAAGGTAATGAATGAATGGAAATGTTTATAATACCATGGCTGCTGCTCTGGAAGAGCAATCACTCAACCGTTACACAAACTGCTTCTGTTGTTTTTCCATTTAGGTTGTGTGTCTCTGTGTAGCTAAAGAGTGTCATCTGGTGCACAGATTATAAATCCCTTTTAGGACAAACATGTTATTTGTGCATATAAAAGTTTATTTGAATTGAGTGCCACCTGTATCTGTGTTTAACAATACATCAAACAGTATATCCCCCTTGTAAAATGTTTAATGCTGTGACAAAAAACCCTCCAATTGCAGTGCACTATAATGTTTCATCTCTCTGCCTCAATAACTCTGTCTGTCTCTATAATCATCGTGATGTGTGTTCTCCCCCCTTCTGCAGGCAGACTTCCAGGTGGAATCCATGAGGCAGCACTTTCAGGAGGAGTCACTGGACTATGTGTGCAAACTGCAGGAGATCCAAGAGAGGAAGAAGTTTGAGTGTGTGGAGCCGGTGAGTGAATGACCACAGTGGCACGTCAGCACTGATCTGGTTTATCTTTCACAATAAAAGCTGAGGGCAATATGGAATGTGACACATGGTGTTAAGTTTCTGTCTTACATTCAAATGACTGTCATACTCTACATTGTGATTACTTCTTTGAGTTACAGAGTTTCTGTTTCACCTGCTTTTGACTCTTTATATATAAATATGATCTAAATTAACGTCTTGTTTGTGTCTCTATCTGTGTTGTGATCTTTTTTAGATGCTGGCCTTCTTTCAGACGGTCTTCACCTTTTATCATCAAGGTTTCGAGCTTGCCAAGGACTTCGACCATTATAAAAGAGCACTGCAGATAAATATACAAAATGTAAGGGCTAACACTGTTTTATTTATTTATTTATTTTTAACAGGGATCAGATCAATCTAAACAAGAAATCTGTTGCTTGGAAACAAAACATGTTATTTTCTACCCCAAAACAGGAAAAGAGTCTTGTACAAATAGTTTTGAATTAAATAAAGAAGAGTGATAAAAGGCAGCAAGTCCCCTTAAGATTATCAATGGGGAAAGAAAACCCTGATATGATATTGAAATGTCAAGGTTCTCTACGCTAACTAAACACCACACCCTTAAACATAGTTTCATTCTTAGTTTTAGATAACAGCTAACTGTTCCATTGATTTCAGGGAAGATAAAGGGACTTTCAAAGGAAGTTCATTAGATTTGCAGTGACCTCATATTAAGAAGTTCTTCCTACATAAAACATTGACTATTATGATTTGACTTCCTGGAGTTTATGTTTACTTCCTCTCCCTCCCAGACAAGAGGTCGATTCGAAGGCACACGGTCAGAGGTGTATGAGCTGATGAAGAGGATCAGGGAGGCGCCTCAAGAATACAGACAGACCAGTGCCATCAGCTGTGAAGGCTACCTCTATGTACAGGAAAAACGTAAGACCTTGATGTACTCAAATGTTTTTTTTTTTTATTGAAGGTTGCATATTGCAGACACAAGGTGAAAATACTAATCCCAACATAATGTGTCCAGTTTCATGTTAACATCTTTCTTTCGACTCCCCTAGTGTAAGTGTGTTAGGGGAGTTTTACCCATACTTTTTTTCTCGTACACAACGAATAATTAACATATACAATAAAAGGTGACTTACAGAAAATAAATAAGATTTACCCTTAAGAAAGACATGATGGGCTGTACAGGAACATGAAATCTGAAGGTCTGTAAATGGGCTCCATGAGAATGATTACTTTCTTTCTCTCTTATTTAGCTTTTTATTTGTTCTTGTGTTGTTTTATGTGCCTTTTTTGTCAGAGCTCCTTGTTTAAAAGATTTGAGATAAATATGGTAAAAAAAAAAAAAAATGCGCTGCATTCTGAAGAGGTAATTGTCTTGAATTATGACTGTGTATAACCCCTGCAATAAAGTGATAGAAAAAAAAAAAGGCAAAATGGTTTTCCAGAGGTTTAAATTCCAGAGGTTTTTGATGAGAGTTTTGTAGAGGGATTGACGTGGCACTCAAATTTGGACTAACTTGTCATTTTCTTTCATTATAGAAACAATTTTACCGGCAGCAGAAATAATAAAGCAGAGAGCATCTGCAAAATATTGCTGGAAAAAAAACAATCAATGTTAACATTTTCAATTGCATGTTTTATTGTTATTTTATGTCTTTATTTTTTAGAGACAGGTCAGTGGCTAGAGTCAGAAATGGGGGAAAGAGAGAGTGGGAAATGACACTAACCACTAGGCTACCGGTGTCCCCAATTGTACTGTTTTAGCTGTGTTTGCTCACAAGTTTTGTAGTTGTAGATGTTTTCGATGTAAGTGCTGCAATAAGCCCATCATTTTTGCTTTTTTTTCCTGTAGGGCCCCCTCCCTTTGGTTCAAGTTGGGTCAAACGCTACAGCACATTTGTCAAAGAGCAGAAGATCCTGCACATGGTGACCTTTGACCACAGATCGGGTGGAAAGATTGTGAGTGTTTTTTTTTTAAATCTGTCTAATCATAGAACAAGCAAAGCATGTTGTACTACAAGCCGCAAATTTCTTTCTATACAATATCTAACTTTTCAGAACTACTCTTTGTGACTCCTTTTTTTTTAGCACCACTACTTTCTGTGCAGTAATTGTTTTTTATTGTTCCCCTCAGGGGGAGAAGGAGTCAGTCACGCTCAAATCTTGTGTCCGCAAAACGACAGACATGCTGGACAGGAGGTTCTGCTTAGAGCTCGACATTACAGATCGGTATGTAACCACCTTCCATCACTTTCAAACACACTGCAATGATATCTTGCCCATAGGTTTTATTTAACATGTCCTAAATCAGTGATTCTCAACTGGTGGGTCAGGACCCAGAGGTGGGTCACCGAGCCATTTTCAGTGGGTCGTGAATGCTTGCCTGGAAGAAACACTTGTGTAAAAAATGTCTGTGTAGCGGTTTTTAAACATGATTTTTAAACTCAGTTCTGTCACATGTTCTGTACAGACTGAGGTCCAAACTGCACAATCTTTCAGTAAATAAATCTGATTGGTGGAAAAATATCAGGGTATCATGGGTCAAAATTTTTCATAGAGGAAGGTGGTGGGTCCTGTGGCTAGACAAGCTGGGAACCACTGTCCTAAATGACACAGTTACTTCTTTAAAAAAAATCTCTTGGAGGACTCTTGCTTGAACACAATGGAAAATATCCCCTCTGCCTTGTCTAATAAGGCCACAGAACACATAGATGATCTGCTGTTATATAATTATATTAAACACCTTTTGAAGTTTTGCGCAACATCTCAGCTCCACCTTATTACTCACGAGGGTTTAGCCTGTTGCTGTGGTGGGTTTGAATTGTCACACCCTGCTCTGCCCCCCTGTAATAGACGGTTTCTCATTTTATCAGACAACGTAACCCTGTCCTGCCCCTTTACTGTAGTATTAATAGAAGAGCAATACCCAGATTTAGTGTTGAATTTCAAGTGCTCACACCCATTCTGATGGGGATGAGTAACTTGATATCCATCTGCCCTCATGTGATTGAGCATTTTATAAACCAGCTGGGATGACCAATATGGCTCATATTTGTATTTACTGTAACTCCAAGTTGTGTGTGCCCTTCACAGAGACTTTTACAAACACATCTAATGTTTTATATTGACACTGATGTCCTCTAAAAGGCTTACTGCACTGTACCGCCAATGCTTTGCCTAATACTAATGTGGTAGAACTGTCTTTCAGGCCTGGGACGGTGCTTACAGTACAGGCTCTGTCAGAGGATGACCACAAGTTCTGGATCCAAGCCATGGGTGGGAAGGAACCTGTGAGTCAGCCGCCTGAGCTATGTCATCATTTTGCTCTCACACTTTACTAATGTAGACTTGCAGTGTTCAGTTGCACTGCCATCTTGTCGAAAAAAATTCTTTTGAGTTTAATATGTTGTCATATTCATTCATTTTACATTAAAACACAATGTTTTCATAAACTTTCATAAGCCAGACAAGAAGATGATTGTTGTCTGTTGTTGCAGATTGGACACTATCTTGGGAGGACTTACTCTAAAGAAAGAGGAAGTAAGCTTATTTGCAGACTTTAAATCAGTAATAGGGTATAATTAAGGGGAATGCTACACAACGTTTAAATGTTTTGTTTTCCCTGCAGTTGATGCACAGCTGGATGAAGTGGGTTTGAGTTTTGTAAAGAACTCCATCAGTGCCATAGAAACCAGAGGTGAGCTTTACATGTGTTGAAATCACAAAGTTCTGAATGAGAGAATACCAGAGGTAGTTTATGAATTATTTGGAGTAATTCAACATGAATAGAGAGGGGCAGTAACAGACTACATGGGTGCATTATGGTGATATGTACAGAAGGGGGCAGACTCGCTTCAATATTGAAACTAAAGGCTGACAGGCAGCTTCTGCAGCCAGCATGAACTGTAGATAATATAAATGACTTTAAACGCATAGCAACGTAGCTCTAATTATTTTGCTTCAGTCTTGAAAGGCTTATCTGACCTCTTTATGTCAGTAAAAAATGGGCTTAGTTCCTCCTAACATATATAAAATTCTCCCTGTAAATGTTAATGTTCATATCTTATTAAAGTTGGTTCATAATCTGACGACATATTCATGTTACTGCTGTATAGTTTCACGTATAGGATTGTATGTATCTTATATTCTCTTTTAATTCTTAATGATGTCATTATTTGTTTTTACTTTCCTTTTTATTGTGTGCTTTGTTTGTTATTTTCCCTTTAAAGCAGTTAGCAGCTTTATGAAGAACATTGCTCTATGAATAAAGCTTTATCATTGTTATTACTTCTCAGGTATTAATGACCAGGGCCTGTACAGAGTTGTTGGTGTAAGCTCCAAGGTACAGAAGCTGCTTTCAATGATGATAGGTGAGTTTCGGCCTCTTCCCTTCTTCTCTCGGCTCTAGTAATGTACTTATGCACAGAGTGTAGCCGAATAAAGTTAAATTTTTAATTTATATGCTACTGCACTATCTCTGTGATGTCCCTTTGTCCCTAGTTATTTGAATGTGCAATAGTTATGGAAGTGTGTATGAGTCCGATATGAAAGAGATGGTGACAGACATTTAGCCCATGATTCAGCCTTTCAGAACCACGTCTCTCTATTGTGAAACAAGTGCCCGGATGTATCTTTGCCTCTCTTCCATTCAGTTTAGCATCCCCTAGACAACCAGACACAGTCCCTCACATTCAAGTCCTTGCACACTTTTTTGCCTTTCGCGTCATTAACACACCACCCCTAATGCCTTTTTCCTGATTTCTTTTATCCCTCTAACTTGTCTTGGATTCCTTTCACTCAACCTCCTTCTTTTTTGTGGAGTTTGTCCTCTGTCCTTTCCAATGCTCCCTGTCTGCTCTCTGGTTTCCTGCCGTCTCCGGCAGACACCGGCTCACTTTCAGTTCTGTGTTCAGAATGACAACAAACTCAAACAGCCGCCAGCCCGGCTCAGCTTCCTCTCCAAAACCCTCCGGCCTCCCAACCTGCAGACTCACGATGTAGACTCCCATTTAAACTCTGCTGCTGCACTCTTAAAAGCTTCTTTAAAGCTGGAATATGGTAAAAAAAAAAGAAAAAAAAAAGATGTGTCCATGGTTCTAACATTACCACAACTTTCTGCAAATAATAGGACAATACAGACTTTCAATTTAATCATTCCAAAGGCCGCAGAAACATTGATATTTTCATGATGCTGCCATGAATTGAAATGACTTGTATGCATGAAGGAGGTTGTCCTAGTTCAACACTAAACCGACACATTCACAAACATTTCTTACATACAACAGTCAAGAGTGAGTAGGTGAGGAAAGCTTTAAACCCTGAAGAAAGACTTTCGGATCCTCCCACTCCTCCTCCTCCTCCTCCTTTGCATCTCTCACCCACCGACATGGACGTGGTCCAATCAGAGATGAAGAAGCGATAGAGAATGAGTCTTCCATCATTTTACAGTACAATGACAAATATTCAATGTCAGGCAACAGTATAACAGGAAGAAGATGGCATAAGTGAGCTCTGTCTCTTGTACTGTGTGTGGCAGGGAAGTGAATGGTGCTGTCAGGATATAGCTACAGTATAATAGTTGCTGAGTTATCATTCTATAGATATAATTGCAGACTGAGGCAAATTTGAGGAATGCTGTCGAAAGTCACCTTACAAATATTTGATGTGTTTCACACTTTTCATGAGTTTAGGGCAAAAAGGACCATTAATTCAGAGGGGACTGCATGATGTGTCAAGGTGCGTTCATTCAAGAGTGCTGACTACCTACCGGTACTTCTGTTTTATACTTATATCCACTCAAGACATGAACTTGACTGTTGATGACTTAAAGGGTCAGTTCACCTAAATACAAAGAGACACAGTTTGCAACCTCCCACAAGGCTTCTAGGAGGAATATGTAACAGTTGGATTTTGGCTAAACTAAACTAGTACGTAAGTGTTATCAAGTATGTGTTAAAAGTTATTTTTCCGCTCGTACTTGCTCAAAGCATTGACTGTGTATTAAGATGGAAGGCGAGTCTCCAGGTCCTCCAAAATATGACACCGAGTAAATATTCACTGACATGTATGTTAAGTTTTGAAAGCGGTGCCTTATGTCCTAAGTGTTAACCTGGAGGGGACGGGGTTTATGACCTATGCTACAGCCAGTCAGTAGGAGAGCTTCAAATGTTTTAGCTTCATTTTCTGGAAACTATCGTGTCCACCATCTTTTTATACAGACAATGGCTCTAAAGAGGAGTTAAGAGCATCCTGCAATAGAGCGTGAATCTAACACAAGATTATTTAAATACAATGTAGCACATTTTCATGCACCCCCCCCCAGAGAACTTTAATAGTGTTTGACTCGGAAAAAGCGACGAAAAGACAGAAGCAACATTCCATCCCTGATTCTTTACTCACCTTCATAATAGTGGCCAATCACAGAGTGCATTAGGTTTAGAGGTTGAAGAGCCACATTCTGTAAGCTACCCGTCAGTGTCAGAAAGCTCTGAGGGAGGGAGGATTTTGAAGCTTTGAAACCATCAGACAAACAGTTCTGAAGAAGCATACTGGCAGCTTCAGGGGTTATGAGATCATTCAAAAGATAGAAGAAGCTGAGTGGTACCATTACACTATGATATGTGAGCTGGAGCAAATGGTCACTTAAACACTTCCCTTTACCAGTTGTCATCCTCCTTGCATCCTCTTGCATCTTTCTTTAAATTTGGCTACCATTAGATACCCC